TCAGAAGTTTTTCAGTCAGTTAATAAGGTGGTAGATAACCTTCAAACAAACGCTCTTAAATTCATGACTCAGCAAATACAGAATATCTTTATATTTCTCATCTAATCAGACTCATGAATCCAACCAGTTGTCTTTTCTTTGAAAATCAACAAAAAGGAAAGGAATTTCACTTTTTTTTTCTGTGATGGAAAAAAAGAGTAATCTATCTGGTCTGACTTGTTTTTCATAGAACACAACAAAATGCCTCTAGAGTCCCTATCAACTTCATTACAGTAAAATACGCCCTCTTGCTCACATTCCAAAGGTGCTTTCTACAGCATATCCAGACACATGTGTGTGTGTGTGTGTGTATGTGTGTGCATTCCCATCATGCTTTGAGTGAAGAAAGCATGTAAAAATCTTTAAAATTGTGCTTTTTTTCTTTAAATCATTATTATTTATGTTTCTAAGAATTTCCTATGCTTCTCCTTTGGTTTTATCTCATCAGTAGGTCAGATAATAGACTGGGCCTTGGCTCAGCTAGTCATTTCTTGCTTTTCTCTCTTGGTTAAATATAAACCCTGGAACAGACTCCAGGTTCTACAGGCTCTTGTTGAGCTATTACAAAAGTCACCCTGAGGTGATATATGGGGTAGGACATGTGACTGGCTGCCTGGGCTGTGAAAGAAGGCAGTATGTGCACTACGGTGTGGTTAATTCCTGCCACAGGTCTCAGATGGTCTGGGTAAATGGATTACATACCACATCAATGATAGAGAATCAAAACCCCACACTGGTGGAGCCATCAGGCCATGTGCCCAAACCATAGTCACAGCATTAACTTGGCACACAAGACAAGCAGCTGATGGCCTCCACAGCATGTGTTTCAAAGCTTTTTGGAATGCTTTTGCGTTTTGTTGTTAGCATATACATCACAGTGTGTACATCGATTTTGTAAATTACATGAATAGTTAATCCAAAAGACTCAGTTATTGAGTTAGTGAGTTAAACTTAAGTGAATGAATGAACTGTCTTTTTATTTTCATCTGAAAAATTGACAAAATGATTCATTTCCGAATCCGACTGATCAGGTTCTCAAGTTCAACTCCCTGACTCAGTGTAACTCTTGGGCTAATATTATCAAAATTATTTAAATAACGACTTAAACGTGTCAGTGATTTGAACTTGGGAGCCATGGAAATTTTTTTTTTCAACAAACTGGTTGATCCACAAATGGGACTGATTCGATTCCCAAGTTCAACTCACTGACTTTGTTTTAAAATTTGAATAACAGCTCCCTTTTGCCTGGCATCATCGGTAAATAAGACTTAAATATTGTCAGTTTGTGTTTAATATATACATAATGTGTACTGTAGTAATCAGAGTTTACTTCATATTTTTAGTTTAAAGAATAGTTTGCCTAAAAATCAAAATAGAGTCAGTGATTTGAACTCGGGAGCCATGATCAACAAAGAACATATATATATATATATATATATATATATCTATATACATTTTCAATAAACTGGTTGATCCACAAATTGGACTAAACGATTCACTTAACAAATCAGACAGATCTGGGTCCTGAGTTAAATGCACTGACTCAATCTGGTTATAATGGTTTTTGGTTTAAATTTTAATTTAAGTTGAGTTTTGTATTTTGTTTTTAGAGTGACATTGTAATATTCTGTTCAGGAACTACTACTTTGGCAATAATTCTATCACGTTTACAGTAACGTTTATTAATGTGCACTGTACCTACCTAATAAATAAATAAATAAACACTTTGAAAAATGTAAAAATGTATTTAAGATTTTTCTAGATTTTAAATAGATTGTTTCAGGTGAAAGACAATCATTCGGGTTTGGAACGACATAGAACAGAGGAAGGACAGAACTTTCCATTTTGGGGGATCTAGCCCTTTAAAAGACCCTTCATACAAACTGCATTTAGTGTAGCAAAAACTAATAACAGGTTAATAAGGCTCTGGCTAGTGAATGTACCTGAGGGCAGCTCACAGCGGGGGGTAGTTCAGGGAGGCACTGCGTTCCGATGCCCCTTTATACCAGTGTCCTAAGGAAGAGCAACTTCCTGTTGTTGTGGACTCTGTCATATTTCAGTACAATGGTAAATCCAGTGCTCTGACAAGCAGTACAGCCCACGATATCCGCTGAAAACACACAACACACATATTCTTGGTACAGATTACATTGGGTGCTCACTCCAGTAAAGATATGCAGGCTGTAAAATCAAAGCTGTGCAGGTTATAAAATTCTGTGACAAACATCTGCGAATATAATATACCTCAAAATGATCCCCAATTATGTAGGGTGAGTCAGTCAGTTTAATTATGCTCTTTAATTACTTAATTTCATGTAATAAACAGCACATGCCTAACAAATAACTGATACCTGTCTAGGAATTTGACCTGCATTTTAACAGGTGATCAGAATCGGCTTAAAAAGTAAATGTGATGTTTAAAATTGAAAAACTACATCTAGGAAGTACTCATCTCATACAGATGGGAGGGCAGTGTAGAAGTGCTGATGCTATGACAGGCAGAACAATGCTGACTGCTTACACGGTCTGTCTCAGACACTAACCTTGTGGCCCTGTCAGAATATCTGATTGTCAGAACGAGAGCACTGCATGGTCAGGCAAAGAGAGCAAATGGAGTGAGACAGACAGACTGAGAGAGGAAGAAACGTAGAGTGTGCGAGGCGCCTGTCACATCCCTCCATTGTGCCGTTTCCTCTATGCCTTTGTTTCTATGTACACATGACAGTAAAATACTTGTAGCCTAACACACAGAGCCTTTAGGTTAGGACACACAAAATAGAACAACTTGAAAATAAGAGACTTCCTGTTAAAACCAACTGCCTGTCTGCCTCCCCACGGGCCGGGGCTTTTTTATTCAGATTTAAAATAAATAAATGAATAAAACACATTAACCAAGGTGCAGTTCATGGGTCTGAGTATGTATTGTGCTGAACAAACAGTGAACTCGTGAACGTGATTTATTACTTTTCTAAATGGCACTGGTGTAAAGTCTTTTATTTCTTTGTGGGCTACAGTGTATTCAGACTGAAAGTATTTTCTCTTTCACAAAGGAATGAATGCTTGGGCTGATTTTGTGAGGTTGTGCAATAAGCGCAAACCTCTGAGATGTAAAGTGATGAAAGAGTGACTACTAGGGTACATCAAGAGTAAAATAAATGGGAAACTGCCAGGTAAGAGGTTTTCTCCACTGACCCTGATTTGAGAGTACTTCAGTAACAAATAATTAAAAAAACTATTCAGTGTAGGGGAAAAAATATCAGGAATCAGTAAGTTAGCATGTCATCTTTATTCTATTTATTTATAAAACATTTAGAAATTTTCTAGTGAATATTTTTTAGGGTAGGGTTTTTTTCAGCTTTTGTATGGCTTAAAAAAAATTGATAAAAAAGGCAAAAATATGTCCACATTTTTTCCACCATTCACCAATAGAAAAGATTACAAACATTGTCCATATAGCTGTTTATAAGAATAGGTTAATATTGTTTATGTTTCAATAGGCTTTAATCATTAATCATTTAATCACCAATTCATGATGTATTATTAGTTTAGATGCTGTTTAAACAATGTATGAGCATCAGAATCAGAAAGAATCAGAAAGAGCTTTATTGCCAAGTATGTTTGCACATACAAGGAATTTGTTATAGTGTCACAAGCTTCCAGTACACTGAGACAACAACAACACACAGATAATAAAAGTGAGATGTGAATAAAATACACATGCATAAATATAAACCACAAAAAAAAAATTGTATGTACAGGTGTGCTATAGATGGAATAGGAATATAATAAAATAAAATAAGTTGTAGGGATGTACTAGGGTTTAGGGTGATAAATAAGTATAAGGTTATTGCACATACTGTACTTTAATTGCACAATGGGAGAACATTAACTGTTCATGAGGTAGATTGTCTGGGGAAAGGAACTGTTCTTGTGCCTGGCTGTCCTGGTATTCGGTGCTCTGTAACGCCGACCAGATGGCAAAAGTTCAAAAAGGAGATCGCTTGGATGTGATGGATCCAGAGTGATTTTCTGAGCCCTTTTCCTCACTCTGGATGTATACAGTTCTTGGAGGGTAGGCAGGGGGGCACCAATAATCCTTTCAGCAGTCCGAACCGTTCTCTGTAGTCTTCTGATGTCTGATTTTGTAGCTGAACCAAACCAGACAGTTATTGAAGTGCACAGAACAGACTCGATGACGGCTGAGTAGAACTGCTTCAGCAGCTCCTGTGGCAGGTTGAATTTCCTCAGCTGGCGAAGGAAGTACAACCTCTGCTGGGCCTTTTTCACAATGGAGTCAATGTGAGTGTCCCACTTCAGGTCCTGAGAGATGGTGGTGCCCAGGAACCTGAATGACTCCACTGTCGTTACAGTGCTATCCATGATGGTGAGTGGGGGGAGTGCAGGGGGGTTCCTCCTGAAGTCCACGATCATCTCCACACTTTGGTTCATTTTTGTCCTAAAAATCATATTTTTGTCCCAGGCACAAGGCAATTCTGACTATTAGCCTCCAATTATTTATTTTAACTACATTCATAGTTATTTCCATGTTTTGTTTATTGTAGCTGTTTTTGGCTGCACTATATCTTTTATTATTTTATTTAGCCTTTATATAACGATTAAACATTATTGAACTGCACTTCATATTGATTATCATTTGTAGCTGCAGTTATAGTGTAGAAATGTCTCATTTTTAATTTTCTGGAACATTATTCGGCTCTAAACGGGTTAATGTCATAGTAAGTAAGAAGCTTTTGTTGGTTGGCAGGTTCCTGAATGAAGCCAATTGTGTCTGCTGTATTTACACTGTGTTTTTTCTAACTCTGCATAAGAGGGCGCTATACATCTATATACAGTAAATGCCGTAATCTGCGAAAACCCACCCTACCCTTCAACTTTCCCCCTGCATGACCTCACACCTCAAATCCGCCGCAAGCGACAAGACAAAAACACAGCGCTGCCATTATAATCAACGAGTCCGTTTCCTGCGCTGCGCGCGTGCAGAGTGGATGTGTTGTGAGGAAGCACGCTGCTCTGTCCGCTGCCTGACGTCACCCCGGCGCGCGCTTCCATAGACGCGAGCGCGAGAGTACAGTGACAGCGCCTCGTCCACTGTACGCAACACTGAGCGCGGCTCAGAGCAGATCATGGAATGTGACTAGGCAACATCCCGCTTTATTTGAGGCCGGTCGTCCGCCCAGCACTCACGGGGTGCAGTACTTTAAACCCACCTTTCCCATTATTTTAATCAAGTGATCACTGCCCTCCTGTGATTCGGGGATAACGTTGGAAGCTTTATCATTTGTATTAATTAATCCTCGAGTTTCTATCCCACTCTAACGGTTCGACTCTGACTTCAAGCTGAGGCTCAATAACTGGATTTGGAACAAAAGGCGACTGCTGCCGTCTGGATATTACATTTTACTCTTGGATTATTGTCTCAGCATCATGAGCACGAGTGGTGAGTAAATTATTGGCATTGTTACCTTGGTCTAATTGCAAAGATTAATGAAATACTAATGTGAAATAATCATAGCAGATAGAAATCTCTCTTTTTTAAAAATACAAATAAAAAATAAATAATCTTTATCTTGACCTTGTAAAATAAGAGCAATTTGTCTCATTCAAGCATTCGACCTCTTGCTCCTGACCTGTCCCAATGACATTCTAGCTGAATCAGGTATTTGGGATAATAATAATAATAATAATAATAATAATAATAATAATAATAATAATCGTGCTTTCTTTTTTCTTATTATAATATACTATTAATTGCATAATTTGATATGTGACGTTTATAATAATAATGCTTTCTTCTTCTTATAAATATAATATTAATAATATAATTTGATATGTGACGTTTATAATAATTATTATAATTACTATTATGATTACCGATAATATTATTGATAGTATTATTTTTATTCAGAGTTGCAAATGAGTCTCATGAGGATTGATAAGTAGGATTTATTGCTTTAATCTCTGTTAAAACTGACTTTGGTCATCAAAGAAATTGTTCTGAAGTAGATTTTTCAACAAGATGTTTGGCCGTTTTGCTGTAGAAAATGATTCTGACAAATTTATGTCCATTTGGAGATTAAATGTCTTGAGAAATGTTATAAAACTTAAACATGCTTGGGTGACCAGTGTCCCGTTTGGTGCCGGTCAGATATGCTTGGTTGCATTCATTCAGCTTTCATCCAATTATATTAATGAAATCACCGTTACTGATTACATGCTGTAGAAATCGGCCAGATGAAAAGATGCACACCAACAGAGAATGAAAGACAGAGAGGCGGCCAGTGCGAGCTCATGTTAGTGACCAGCTCTCCTTTGAGGCTTGTGCTTCAGTCAGCTGATGTTGCAAGGACATGACCGCTGCTTCTCATAAAGATCCTTTTATGGGAAAAGTTCAGAAACTTAAGAACAAAGCTGATGGGCAACAGACCTGTTTTTGTCCTGTTTGTTATACCTACTTGCCAAATGCCGTGCTGTTCTGCGATTAGAAATGGTTTTCATTCTTGCAGCAATGCCCCCCACTATTCTCCCCTTAGTTCAGGACGCACAGCTCTCAGTACCAACACACTCTGATAAAACAGTCACATCAGCCAATTGAGCTTGCTTTATTCACTCTTTCAAAGCGTTTTGCCTGGAAGCTGGGGATGGGGCTGCTACCAGCGTGCTACCGTATGGAGAGCGAGTGTTTTCAGCTGCAGACAGATGGCAAGGGAATGAGTGCAGTGACCAGGTTGTGTCTCATGGCAAAAAAGGACTAGCTGGAGAACTACCAACACATGAACAGGCATGACTGGTCCACAAGAGACCTGGAGTGTTTTGCAGAATATGTACGTAAAGCACATGGCACACTCATATAATTTTTTAGTATGTAAATAGACATGCTCTTTTTTCAGTAGAACGTTCCTACCAAATTGGCCGACTGACACCAAGTCTCAAACTTACCTTATAGCCCATGCAGACATATAGCATTTGAATGGAGCGGTAGCCGTGCACATTGGCATGTTGTACTACATTGGGCATGATTGCCTTGAGCCAGTGAAAATGCCGAGCAATTACACTGAGGTCACTTGGTCTCTCTTCATTTGCTTCTCCCTACATTTCTTATGGTCAACTGTCATTATCACCTGCCCTCTATTTTCTGCACCACTGAGAGAACAGGCAAACAAATGAGTAGTGGAATGCTCCTTCAATCTGTTTTCCATTCCCTGTGCTTTCTGTCTTTCTTTCTCTCTTTGTTCTCCCGTTTGATCCTCCTGAGTGAATATCAAGGGTTTCTGTGCCTCAGAGATTCTAGTAAATGATAGATAGTGATTGTTTATTATCGGGGGCATTGGAAGGATTCAAAAAGGAGAGCAGGGGTACATACATATTTTATAAGCCTGACTCATGAATATTATTTAAGTGGCATAACAATTGGCCAATGAATGTGACTGTGAGTTTATCCTAAGGTTCCTGAAGTCATCATACCCTGCTCCTCCTGTGTCAGCATTCACGACTCAACATCCCTCACATCAATCACACGCTAGCACACACACTTACAGAAGTGCCTCCGTCACCACTGTCCTGTCATGCCAGCCCTGTGGAGAGCAATGAGGTGGAACCCAACTTGCCTTCAATGTTCAGACCTCGTCAACAGTTAGCTGCACCCTTTTTAGCCATCTGTAAAAGTTAATGCACTTTTTCTTTTGAAATTAATGGTTTGTGATAATAAAATCAATATTAAGGAATATTAGGAACAAACGAGCAATTTAATTAACTGTCATTATATTAGCATATAGAATTAGTTTTTTATGTGGTATGTGCTCATAAAAGAAATCATTGGATTAATTTGCCATCATTATGACAAAGCCCATTATTAATCACAAAAATGGCCTTATAAATTATATGCAGGTGTGATTTGAAAAGTGGGTAGGGAGGGCACATGATTACTTTCAGTTTGGCTCATGAATATTAACTAAGTTACTTAAAGTTAGCTCATTAGTGCTCAGTAGTTCATTTTAAAAATAAAAGTTCTTTATTGGAATCTAATGTTCCATGAAAAGTCTTTAATTTCAATTACAAAAACGGTTCTTTATACTGGAAAAAGTCTTTATATTATTTTTAAAAATGGTCCTTTTACGAACTGTTCACTGAAAGGATCTTTTGGGAACCCTATGGCATTGCTGCGAAACCCCCCTTTTGTAACCTTTAAGGTCCCCTTGCAGTCACTAATTTTATTGTTTAAATCTCAACTTTGATAATCAAAATCGAATAATATTTAAATGTTTTTTTTCTCCCATGAAAATAATTTCGTCTTGCCTTTAAATTGCTTATATAACTCTACACCCTTACCTTATTTAGTGTACATGGACTCATGAATATGCATATTAAAAAAAGACCCACCCCGAAAGTTGACGGGATTGGTTACATGTTTGTGTGACCGTATGAAACTTACTGTATCAAGCTGCATTTTTAAGACTGTCTTTGCTACACTGCAGTTTTACAGAGAAAATGCTCAGCAATGTTGATTGATGAATTTGCACATGGTTTGTGTTAAAGTATATTAAACATTTTATTTTCACCACAGGGGGTCTCTAAGGTAAGAGGTTGCTAGAGGTTGTTCGGTTCAATTTTGTTTTTGGTGGCCGAAACTCTTAAAGTCTAATGACTATTTGCCAAAAAGTAGTGGTTACAAATGTAAAAATTGCCCCCTCCAGCTATAATGGCAGCTTCCCAGATAAAATATTATGCACTATGCATCTGCTTTGATGTTACTCTGTAGCATCTCTGTAGCATCTATCTGCATAATGCATAAGCTCTACCTGGGAGTTGATTTGAACTGAGCTAGTGTGTCAGCAGACGTAGACCCACTATGGCACCGTAAACACGCTCTCATCCCATCTGGAGTGCAGTCCAGCCAAGAGTCAGCACCCATTTGTCATTTCTGTAACCCAATGGTATGATTTAGCAGCACTGGGAACAAAAGTGAAACACCAGCATGCCAAAACTTGTCAGGGTTGAATTTCCTACAGATCCTTTCTAAAGATTTAATTGTCCTTACATTTCCCCTGGCTTGCATATACGGGGTGATATCTTTGAGGGAGCTCTTTCTATTGGACCACATAGATATAAAAGCCAGAAGATGGACACAGAGTGTCATTCCAATACAATAACTGCAAGACATGTGCTATAGAAAATGTTTTACAAAGATAGAGTACTACTTGTAGTGTCTAGATGTGCTAATTGGATTGTGGCTCCTTGCTATTACAACAACGTTATAACTAACACTTAGCTTTGACAAACATATTTGCGTGAAGGGGAATAGTTTTAATAACTTCTTCAGCCCGATCTCTTGATCATTACTCAGCATTTTTTTTCCCTAAACCATTAAGGATGCATTTGTGCACCTCTGTGTTATTTGTCTTCTCTATAGTCTCCAGTTTCCTATCAGAGGGATTTTGGCAGGCTCTGTTAGTGGGCCAAGCTTATATCTTTATTACAGTGTCTGAGTACTGTCTTTCTGCTCAATGAGCAATACTAAAATCCAGCTGATTGTCATTGTAAATGTTTGCAATCTAGCTTCATAAAGCTGCTCTCCATTAAAGAATCCAAGGAATCATCTCCTGTAGAAGACATGAAGGTAGATAACTCATAGAGTGACACTAGGGATGTTCATCAGATGACCCTGACCCAACACATTTCTCTAAACTTCGTTGAAATCCCAAATCATTAGTAACCCTGAGAGCAGATCGAAGGCTGGAGTGATCATTTGTCTGACAGGGTCAGTTCAGCTCCTGTCGCTACAGCAATGTTGACTTGAATGTAAGAGGTATATCATATTTGGTCAGGTTCTCCGGAGGCCCATGTACTGCAAACAGGTCTTTGAACACCCCCACTTTTCTTAAGCAGGTTTCAGGGGTTATGTGGAAAGATTTTGATTGTATTTTTAAACCTATAAAAGAGAATGATGAATTGATAAACAAAAAAACTAATTATTTTAATGAGAAATTACATTTCATATTAAAGCTAGTCCATTGAATGTTCTGTTCATCAAAAAATCCTGAATTTTTTTTTTTTTAACAAAAATATTAAACAGCACATCTGTTTTCAACTGATAAAAGATCTTGATAACATATTTCAGCCAAATGTTTCAACAATATCAAACTAAATGCAGTTTATATTGTTTTAGATATGCTGAATCTGATCGGATAGAGCGAGTAATGACACACATTATTTAAACATTTACACTTTTGTTATTTTCAGTGAACCATGCTGTTAACAACCACCAAAATCACATTTTTCTGTACTAGTCAGTATTGTCGCAAGTAAGTGTTCTGACACTGGAAACAAGAGTGTTACTTATTACTTAATTAGTGCCATTAATTCTAGCACTGGATTTCAAGGTCTTCACCCAGTGCTCATTACTGTAAAGGATAAGTGAACTCTGTCTGGCCACAAGATCTTGTTTACACCTCTCCTCTGTCTGGCTATGGAGGAATTGAGAGCAGCCTTGTCACCTCCACTCTCCCACAATCCTGTGTGACTATAATCCACAGGAGGCTCCTCCGTTGAGGGCAGAAATAGCAGCGGCCCCTTAGGTCCTGTGGTTATCACCTTACACCTCGGCCGGATGTTACTGGCCCTTTGCTATATACAGTATTGCTCAACATTATTACTGTGAAGTTTCTCAGAAGAACTAGGTTTCTCTAAATCTCCTTTTTTGTAAATCAAGCATATTATTTCATTCATTTTTATAACTGCACAAACCAAGAGGAATTTGTGGCAACACATGTTTAAGCCATTGTGACCTATTTTGGGATTTGGGGATCGTGTTTTTATTTGAGCTGTGAAGACTGTCAAGTCTGTATTAATAATAGACGTTTTTTTCATTTGAATCTAGATTTTAGCATCCATTATAGTAATACTTTCCACTGAAACTTGAATGCTATCTAATGTAGGTGCCATTAAAAACTTTAATCATGTGTGCATGACCTCCCCTGATATCTGTGCACATGATATACTGTAGCAGGGATTACACAGCCTGTTTACACCCACCATCCTTTAGCACAGCGATACCCATAAATGACAGATGAATGATGCCTGAAAGACATATTGTCTTTTAAAGGCATGTAATTTATTCTCTTTTGAGCTGTCACCTCTGTTTATTTGTGCATTATTGTACGTGACAGTTTACGGGGTGCTTGCAGTCTTTGAGGTACAAAGAAAAGCAAAGCTTTGGGGGAAATAGCTCTCACACATTACCATAAATGCTCCTGGTTTTGTGATATTACAAAACATCTCATATTTTCTCTTGTGTGGCTGTTATCTGCTTTTAACAGCATCGTGACTGTACTGTCCTCTACACTGACAAAAGACTGTGGGCTCAGAGCGTCTCGCAGAGCTGAGGGCCACACACAGAATTCAGAAAACCACTCTGGAAGTTGGCCAGGCAGTGTGTCACTCTGCCAAAGGAATAAGTGCTTAAAATATTACCAGTGTGAGATTGAGCCACTGGAGGAGGCATAACAGCATTAATGGATCATTGTTCTTCAGCTGTGGATGAAGAAAAGTCAATGAAACTCTCTATTCCAATAAAATGACAATATGCGAAGTGATTTTCTAGTATAAGTCATTGTTTGTTGAATAGAAAAATGCTATTTTCAGCTCTCAGATACTTACCAATATGCTTTGTATTTATTGCACAGATATTTAGATTTATTTATTTATTTTTGCAACATTATTCATTTATTTTTGTAGTTGAATAACACTGTTATAGTCTTTAGCAAATCTCAAAATGAATATAATCTTTTTGTATTCTATTCATTATAATGTTTTGATGCCTAATTTCAGTTGCAGCATCTAAAATGATGGATTTTAGTTATTATTGTTTTGTTTTTCATTTATTTTGACAAAATAAATATCGAAATTCAGTACCTTTTAATATAAGACATTGTTTGTTGCAGTAAAAAAAGTCTATTTTCAGCCCTCTTGACCGGTATATCAACATAAGTGTTTATTGTGTAGATATTTCAATGATATTTTGACAATATTATTTATTATTTTAACACTTAGCATATCTCAAAAAGAATTTTTCATATTCTGTTCACTGTTATAATTTCACTTGCGTTTAAAATGATTGATTTTGGTTGTTAGAGTTTTATTTTTAATTAATTTTAAAATTTGTTTCAAATAGATTCAAATTTCAGTATCGACCATTTATTTGTTATCTGCTACAAAATGTAAATATTCACATTGATAATTGTGATTTATTGTTGAAAAATTAGGGAATTTCCCTCACAAGTTTATCTGATCAGTATCACTTCCTGACTTGACACATTGTGCTCGCTGATTACATTTGTCTTTTCCAACATGCACACAAAACCCTCATTAAACATGCACATTAAAACCGAGTTCCCAGTATGCTCTACCAGGCCAGACCCATTTTTAATACGTGTTCATGGCTGTCGCCTGGCTCTGTTTCTCAGGGAGCTGTGGGAACATGGTGCTGATGAATCTGATCGCAGGCTCGGCAGTTTTGCTCTGCTGCCAGCATTGTAGCTGAAACAATGGAGATCAGGGTAGGGCATGTGCCCTTGCTGTTTTCAACATTTTCTCCCAGTTAAATCCGTTTAGACTAAAGCGAAAACAACACTTGCTACAGTGATTGCACAGTAATTGATTTATTCACTGACTGAGTGTTTGAATGCCTGTTATGCATCTTTAATATGAGGGCAATCAGCACAAAACCGTACAGCCATCAATACACAGAAAGAGAGAGAGCAAAGGAAATTATTTAGGTAACCCTCAGGCCCATTATAATGACAAACACAGAACTCACAGCTGTAGTACAGGTACAACGAATACAGTGTAAAGGACATTTTTGGTTTCACAATGCAAAATACATCACTTTTTTTCTTAACACACTGTACTCAAACGCATGACCAATATTGAAATTGGTCACTGATTCAGATAATGCTATAATTATTTCATTATTAATATTTATTTTTGTGTTATGGCTGATATTTAAAGATTACTACTTTGTTAGGAAAATGATTTATTTTCGAGACAAGACCATTTTAAAAATAGGTCATGTAAATGTGAACCCCACCCCCCCAATCTAATTCTAAAACCAATTGGTTTACATGCTACGAGTCAATTTAGGCATCACAACATTATATTAAAGTATGAAAAATGGATATTCATTTTGAGATTTTTTTAATTACATTTTAATAGTGTTATTAGATAAAAATTATGGAATAAATTATTAGTGGTTGTATTATAATTTTATAGTAATGATTAATCATTTGAATAAAATCTTATTTTTAAATGTTTTAGTTTTCATTGTAATTTTTGTTAAGGTTTTTATCAGTTAATTTGATTATTTAGTGCTTTTATCATTTTAATTATTTAGCTTTAATTTACTTTTATTTCAGTTTTAGTTTTAATAATTTTGGTACTTCAACATTTTTTTTTTTTTTTAGTTAACATTGATTCAGTGTCAACCAAAAATAATAAATTAAAAAATGATTAAAAAAACCTCTAATATCAGCCAATAACCAATAATGCCTCGATGTATTGTACATCCCCTGTTTTCTAATGTTCGTTACTTAGTGCCTTTTTGTCTTTTTCCTAGTAGTACCCTATCAGCAAAGCTCATGCAGCAGTGAACGGAGCTCCGGACCAATCCACTGCTTTCGCTGCCGGGAGGTGTGCAAAGGAGAGGTGGTACGAGTGCAGCATGTGCACTTCCACATCAAATGCTTCACCTGCCAAGGTAAGAGTCTTTTTCCCATATGCAATGCATTGTAAACTCTGTGACCTCTCATAGTCATCTTTTAATTGTGGGAAAAGCTTGCATACAGGCTTGGATTTGTTTCAGATATACGATCTCCAATAGATTCTGTTTGGTAATGGCACTTCATTAAGAACTAAAGCAGAGCTCTCTGCCTCTGACCTAATAGCAGTTTGACATGAGTGGTTAGAAGCAGTGGATTTCTGTTTTAATGATGCTGGCTATGCTCCTGGGGCTGTCTGAAGTAGGGACCTGTTGTGTAATGAGATCCACTGGCCTCACATTGTCAAGATGGTTGTTCAGTGATGCCCCATGGCATTGCCCTCAATTATCAGTGACATTAGTGGCATCAAGAAATTAAAATGTAAAACGAATGTGAATATGAATTGACCAGGTACCGTCACCTTTAGATTATGTTAGATTAAAAATGTGGAAGTGAAACCCTTGAGAGATAGACTCATTTGTGGTTAAATGAGCTGTTAAAAAGGTTGTATTTGTGCTACTTTTCCCTGCTTAAACCCAAACTGGTGTAGCCACATGGTCCCTGCATTGCATTTAAGGGGTTGCTGTGGAAACCGTATGGAGGGGCACCCTGCCCCTGGTTGTTGGTTATTCTCAGCTACACTATCAAACCGACAGCCAATAGCAGCCTCCCACAGCAAACCCTAGGGCATAGTTGGGGGGATGAGGGGGGCTCATAGATGGTGAGACGGGGCGGGAGCGATTGAAAGAGAATGGCAGTTTCCCTCCCTCCATTATGACATCATGAGTTGCCTTGGAGCAAATGAAGTTACTCAACAATAACAGTCCTTTTCCCCTTTGCTTCCTCTCTCTCAAATTTGCCCTCTCAGCTTTGCCCTTATCTTCCGTAAAAATTACCTCAAGCAATAATGTATTTCACCTCTAACTCAACCCCACCCCTTACCTCACAATTCGTGCTATGTATTATTGTGTGTGTATTAACTGTGCGCTATGTGTGTAGGAAGAAGTCCAAATGCTGCTTCAACAGCTCGTATCTCCAGCATTGTTGCACGGTGGTTTGTTTACAGTCCTGTGACTGACGGCTCGGCTTCAGTGCGTGCTGTGAATTTTGTTTGGATTGGAGAACTGAGTGTGATGATGAGCTGTGGGGCTTTGAGGCCCAGTTAATTGGACAAAGAGGCAACATTTGTGGGGTGTTTCACAGGAATCCCAGCTCACTCAGCATGTGCTGTCACAGGTCAGAGGGGCCACATTGGAGTCGCAGTTGCTGGTGTTCGTAAACACGTGACAGTCTGCTTTTTTTTTTTTGGTTCGTTTATGTAAAGGGGAGGCAGCCAGGGGTAATATCAGTACTCACTTCCTGTGTATGCATGCACATATCCACAGTAAAACATAAACAGCCATAAGCTCCATTTTAGGGCTGTCATTAACGATTATTTTGGTAATAGAGTAGTCGGTTGATTATTCTGACAATTAATCGAGTAATCAGATAATTTTTTGTGGTAACAAAAACAATAGATTTTAAAATGACTTAAAATATATAATTAATAGCAATGAGGCAATAATAATTGGTTCAAATGAAATATGAAAAGCGAGTAATCATATGGCTTTACTAAACAAAACAATTAAAATACATAATGTAATAAAACAATAATCATAACTTATGTACATTATAGGGCTGGGCATCATTTGAATTTTATCGATTCCGATTCTGCTTATCGATTCCGATTCTTTTTGATTCCCCGTTTCCATTCTAATGTGATTAAATAATGATATCAAATAGGGCTGTCGCGATTCGTCAATTTTATTTGACTATTCGATTTTTTTAAATCCTCGACTTCATTTTGCTCACGTCGACTAACCGGTAAAATACCGGAAGTGGCGCATTTCACGGACGAGAATCCATAAAACACATTATTAGACTGTTTCCCAAGGCTGCATGATATCTAAGGTAAATTATTTATAAATCTACGCAAACTCAGGAGAATACATCGAGATTTCAAAATAAAAGCTCAAACTCTGAGTTTACACGTTTTTGATGTCCACATATTCATTTAATTACAGTGGCTACATAGCATTTCTGTCCTAAAGAAATGGCCAAATATTAAAGATTAAGTGGACATTTGAATTAAATGGTGCTTGGTCAATATTAAACAAGTATTAGATCGCACAGCAATGTGTAAAAATAATAATCAGGCCATTGGAGCCCCCTGCAGGCCTTTGTTGTAATGCGTAATGTACATTAGCTCTATTGTTTATAATACATTATGTATTTTAACAGTTTTGTTCATTAAAACCATATGATTTCTTGCTTTTGATACTTTATTTTAACTAATTATTATTGCCTCATTGCTATTATATATGTATTTTAAGTCATTTTAAAGCCTATTGTTCACTTAAATCTATTTTTATTACCACCAAAAATGTATTATAATTATAGGGCCCTATGAAATGCGTTTTATTTTCAAATTCAGTTTTTTTTTCCATTTTCATTTTTCTATACTCTGTTTTAATGGTTAAATTAAATTGTATTAATCAAAAGGCCTGTCTAATTAATTGAGTTTTACAGTTTTATCTTTACCAAATTCTGTTTTCCATTATTTTCTGGATTCCATTTTAATTGTTCCATTAAATTGTAATAATCAAAAGCATCTCCAATTAATTGATTTTATTAAAAAGAAAAAAAAAAGTTTTTATTTTTTTTATTTTTTCAGAAATACTGCACATTTACATTTTCTCCTAAATAAATTATGGTAAATAACATACCTGGTAAATACTCCTTTAAAAAGAGTTTTTGGATTATAATTTTATTATTAGTATAGCCTAGAACACGTGGATATGTTATCATTCTTACACTATAATACTGAACTTTGATTTCAGTGATTTGGACTATGAGATCTTCTTTTTCCCCAATGGAAGTTGTGGTTCTCTCATGATTCTGAAGAAAAAAACATTAGACAACTAAACAAAATCACATGTAATTTATGAATTAATGATTAAATGACTCACTCAAGATGTACTTCTTGAGCGAATCTCTTGTATGATTCAAAGACAAATAAATTTTAACAGCCCCTTTTTGCCACCTACTGGCGTAACAATGTAATTGATAAATCTTCATTTGAAGTGTCAAATTACTTTCAAAAGGTGATTTACTCTATTTTAATCACTACCATACACATCGTACACACAGTTTATATCTGAACTATAAACTTTTATGCCAGTACTTTTGTGATTTGAATGTTTGTAACAGAAATAATGATACTGTGTGGCTGAAAAGACTGTGATGTTGTTTTATTTATGACAGACAGCTGCACTCTTTAGGTCAATGGCAGCGCGAACGCAGATTTAAATGTTCGGCATCCGGTGCGTGAGGTGTGTACGCGCTCTGGCGTAGTTTATGCAAGCGCCGGAAGTGATCTCTCACGCGTATACGTCACTCATTGTTTACACAATTTTTGGGTGAACTATCCCTTTAATTAAAATTACTTGTACATTACTACATTATTATTGATAAACCTTCATAAATCCATACATTCTGACTGATGGATTTAAATATATTTAAGGGATGTAAATAGATGTAAATGAATAATTTTCAGTTAGAGCCTACTTAAAAACAGCATGACAATTGCTAAGATAAATACTTTAAGAGAGAATATGTTTGAATAATCTTATCTTCTCTCAGAAACCCATTTTCTGGTCTTTCTGTAAGCAAATTTGCTGCTTTTTAACTCGAAGTGTGGGGCATTTGAGCTGAATGCTTGACAGTATGTCTGAGTGAAATGTCATGGAACAATAAATAGACCAGCTCACCTACTTGACTCACTAGTATGAGCACCATCCATAAACTGTCAGACAGGATAATTCACAGAAAAATGAATATTCTGACATCATTTACTCCTTTCTTTCTTCAGTGGAACATAAAAGTAGATATTTTGATATTAATGGTTTATTAATGTCTACACATACCACAACCCTAATCCTACCCTTGCAGTAATGCAAATACAGTAATTATGTGTTATATTCACGGTTGTGGCTAGAAGGGATACAGCTATCGGAAACCAACAATAAAAAATTTTTTTCTACCTATTAGATTGTGTTTTATTAACGTCTACACCTACCCCAACCCTAAACCTACCCTTACAGTAATGCAGATACATTAAATATTGTTGTTCAGCATAAGAAAAAGGACGCAATATTGATTTGCGCATGCACAGTAAGCCCTGGTAGGAAAATTGGATGGGTAGGATAAAATGTCAGGACACCTGTTGAAAATCGATTCAAATATATGACGATTCAAATCGGTTGAGATGCTAAACAAATCGCGATTCAATTAGGGGTAGGAGTTAATATGAATGTATGTCTGAGGGGAACATACTGCATTTAGAAAAGTTTAGATGGTATTTTTTTCTTTTCATCTTGCCATAAGTTGCTTTGTTTACAGCAGAAACCAAGGAAATGCTTTAAGCGCCACCTGCTGGCAGAGAATGAATCTGCGTCTCGTTCAGCTCGTTTGCTGTTTCTGTTTCATGCAGATATTTTTCATGTATAGTTTCACAAAACTTTAGTCAAATCATTCTGTTTTTGCTTCAAATTTCGAAATTATACAATGTAATTTAAATTAAAAACTGCTCATGTTGCATGTATGCAGCATCTTTGTTTGGATCATGATTAAAATGCAGTGGTTGTCTGCCTCTAATTTTAAATGGAAAGAGCACAGACAAAGCCTTATGTTGTTTATATGAAGATATTTATTTTATGTGTGTTACTTATTTATTTGATTTGGGGCTTGTTTTAAATTTTAAATTTAGTTTTGTTATTTACATTTACATTTTTTAATTTTGTTATTTAGCAGACGCTTTTATCCAAAGCGACTTACGAATGAGGACAATAGAAGCAATCAAAAGAGCAATAATATGCAAGTGCTAAGTTAGTATATTATTATAGTGTTTTATTTCAATTTCACAAAGAAACGTGCAGCATTCTGTCCAAGCAATAATAAA